TTATTTCCTGTATGCTAAAATTCCTAGCATGACTTAATACAGCAACGCAAGTTATTAATCAGACTACATACTCAGTGATCACAACTGGACTTCTAAGTAGTTAGTGCAGTATTAAATATCCATGAAGGATTGCTCACAAATGAATTCTTCTCATCCACCATTCTGTCAACCACACATTACTTAGAAAATCAGTCTGTCAATCTTAGATCCTTATTTAGTCCCCAGTGTTATCTGAGCATCTCAATTTTTAATGTATTCACTGTCACAACATTCTTCTGAGATAGAGGAATGCTATTATTCCATTTTTAGAAATGAGGAATACAGACATTGTGAAGAATGCAGATGCCATGTCCACAGCAAAGCAGGGAACTGTCAGTGCATGCCTCGAAGTGAAGGCTGCAGTGTAATTGCTAGATGCAGCTATTCTTCCCTTCTCCGTTCCAATCCCTCCTGTGAAATAGGAGACAGATTGGGAACAGATGTTGCTGTTTGTTCACAGGCTGTAACTGTGATCATTCTGATCATTTAGTGTGATGCTCTGCCTTACAGGGGCCATTGAACTTCATAGAATGAAGGAAGTTCTTGGTCCAGAGCATGTTTTAAATCAAAAACAAAATTCTCTCTTCAATTTTAAATTGCTAATGATGCAAAATCCATCTGCAATTTCCTTCATATGCTTAACAGACTGTGGCTTCACTGGCACAGGAGAAGAAAGCGTTTCAGAAATCAGGATCTTTTCCAGAAAATCCTATTGCTCTATTAGTATTAAAATAGACTAGGTTGCTAAGTTTAGCTTTTTGTCTGCTTTCAGCTGTCATGGTAAGAAATGGGGAGAGAAACAGTCTTTCCTTCTGGCTCTAGTTGTACATTTTTGGACTTCAGAGATCAGTAAACAGCAGAACACATTCATTTACCTCACAAAGCAACCACAAGTTCCAACTATAATTATGGCCTCTAATGAGTTCCATCCAGGCAGGAGTAGCACAAATTCCGACTCCTATGTGCAGATTCTCATGTTATTTGCGTATTAAATTTTGGCAATGTTATTTTCCATTTACACAGAGAAGCTCAATTCAGATGATGAATTCTAGTGATATTAACACTTGAAAAAAAGCATAGTAAAAATTTTGACAGACCTTTAGTTTAAGGACCTCTTGGGGCTCTGCTATATTTTTATCAGTGTTGAGTATTGCTTGTACAGTGAAGAGTCTGAGCTTTTGCATTTCTAGCCATCCTTTAACAGCTTAAAATTGCTGTTTAGCTGGCCATTGAGATCCCACTGTAATTTGAACATGCTCCACATGCATACCTGTAGCAGCCTTCAAAAATTCTGAAATAGGGCTGAAACTTTCACTGCATTCCCACCAGAAGTTCAACAGATGTTTTAGAAGTCTCAGGCCACCTAGTTAATATCACAGGTTTAAAATATAACATTAATTGGATGTTTACATATTAATATTGATGAGGGCACTTGCTAATTTATAGCATGCATCTATGAGGCATTTGATGGATTTGAACTACAGGACTGCATACTTTCAGTAGGCTTTTAAACAATCAGAAGTATTGCACTGATTGGTACTATGCTCCATTAAATCTTATAGGAAGAAGGTTTGTGAAAGTGCACCACTTTTATCCAACTCTGATCTGTGTGAGGAGTATGTAGGTTTTACAGTAACATACTTAAAAGTCATCCACTGCTTCGGTGTTATTTCAGGTTCCAAAAGCCATGAAAAGGTTACTTGGAAGTCTGCATCACAATTTCACAATTTTTATTTAGAAATGAAATTTTTTTAGAAAATTCCAAGTTTTCATTTAGCAAATACTGCTCATGACATCTACAGTAAACTGCTTGTTGTTGTGAGCTGTATCCCAATGAGGTTTCTTCCTTTCCTGTTTTGGTTGTTTTCTGCAAATTGTACTTAAGTCATGTGGCCAACTCACATGAGCTTCAAATGACTGCATGTGTAATTATGTTTTGTTATATATGACAGCCGTGGCCAATATTCACAGTCAGACCCAGTTCCCTGTTGTGTGATATAACAAACACAGAATAAAGAATAGCCCCGTTCCTAAATTGCCTGCAATGTAATTAAGAGCTGGCATAAAAAGCAGTTGCAACAAACATTAGAAAGGTACAGAGGAGAGATGATGGAAATCATAATAAGAAAGTTAATGTATACAGCATATAAATAAGATCATTCACTGCAATATCGTAAGACCTACTTGTATGTTTTATAAACTAGCACTTTAAAGCCAAACAAATCATTGCAATCAAAACTTATCTTCTGGTGAATAAAAACAGAAGAGTTGAATTTGAGAAGCGTCTTGGACAGTGCTACTACTGTGTGTCTCTAAATTACTTGTGTCTTGTTTAAAGCAGCACTTTATAAAATGTGCTGTCCACAACTAAATTAAATTGTATCTTAATCTACATTTCTCGGATGAAATAAAATCTACATCAAGGAAGAAGTATTTTAAAATTCCCACACTGTTTTCAGGAGATGGCATGCTCATAGACTGTGCCTTTTTTTTTATTATTGCTATTATAAAATATATTTTTTATAATAATATAGTTATTATTTATATATATATAGTAAAATAATAATAAAATGCACCCCAGTTATTTAGGCCTGTTGAGAGCAAGCTACTTCCATGAATAACTGCTCATCTAATTCCATGAACATCTATTATTAATGTGTGTGAGAAAATATAGCTGTAGTTAGCAGACTACTCCTGAACAACGTGGGCACAAAGAACTGCAGTGATCTCTTTGAGTTGAAAATTATTTCTTTATCTGCATGTAACGTTAACAAACATAGTAGTACTGGGATAACAAAAATATGGCGCAGGCAGAATTTAGAGTAAATTTTGTCTGATTTTAGTCCTGACTGCGTGCATTTCTCAGAAGAAAGGCACCCATTCTTTTCTAAATATCCCAGTATTATTTCGCAGATAAACAGACCAGTGCTACCAACATTTCATTACCGTTCACAGTTGGTGCTCTGTAATTCTATGTAATTTTAATTAAAGAAGAATTCTGAGACAGTCTCCCCCTGTGCTCCCACCAAGCATACAATTAAGTGTGTACAGTTTCTGCTGGGAACAGACAATGATTTCAGATTAATAATTTATTATTACTTCCATAGTTGTTCCAAATAATAGCAATAATAAAAAAAAGGCACAGGCTATGAGCATGCTATCTACTGAAAACAGTGTGGGAATTTCAAAATACTTCTTCCTTGGTGTAGATTTTAAACATTGGGAGTTTACAATTCTGTCCTATGGATACTGAAGAAAAGTAACTCCGTAGCACTGCAGTCTGAAAATTGCTTGCTGGAGGGCCCTTACTGTGTGCTTGAGTCAGGAAAGCAACATAAGCAATTTCATGTACAACCTTTCATCATCCTTTCGGTTTTGAATAGATGATTGTTCTAATACTTCTAATATCGAAGATCCAATTTCTGATCTTGACCGTTCTGGCATTTTCTTCAAATTACAATCAATATCAAAATAATAGTAGCACCTGGCTTTCTGTGAACAGACACATCTGTGCTGATCTTTTCCAGCAAATTTTAAAAGCACGGCTTTTAGTTTAACTGCCCTTCCCTAGTCATCCTTACAGTGCTTCAGAACAATTCCTGCAAGTCTAGAGTGATCTTACCTAGTAGAATCTTAAATAAGATTCATCCAAATTGAAGGAATCAACAATACATTTGAGATTTTTTCAGATGCTGAAGTGAGTAATCAGGGAATTCACTTGAATGCTCACATAATGACAGAAACATATTTGAACCAGAATATGCGCTGCAGTTCCTCATTGGGAAGTTTTCATGTGCTCTCTTGTTATTGCCTTTATTTTTAAGGACTGTTAGAATGGAATATTAGAGTTTATGTCAGATGGGGGAAAAGACTCAGCTAGTAAATTAGCTCAAACTACAATTTAATCCAGACAAATGAAAACTATAAGGTTGCATTTTAGTTTTTTTCTTTCCAATCAAAGAAAAATAAACCTTTAAAAGCAAATGTTATTCCACCAGTTCTCAGTTAACAGTTTCTTTAAGTTGGTACTTACCAGCAGTCCTCACAAGAAGCAGAGGTGATTCAAGTTTTCAGATATTCAAGACGTCCTGAGTGAATGCACCTATCTGAAAATCACACAACTTGAGGGGGAAATGATACCCAAATCAATGTCCTCATCAAAAGGAAACCTCAAAAGATGTGTCAATATCTAATTTTCTCAGAGAACGGTAGAGATACTAAGATTTCAAATTGTTGCTTGAGTTCAGTGTCACAGTTAGGAAACTTGCTTTTTGTTTGAGTGCAGGGTCATCCCTTTCAAGTGTGGCATAAAGTCTGTGCCACAATTCAGCAAATTAAGAAGTACGCACTCTCCTTAACCATCAGCTTACTCAGGTTATATAATGTGTGTCTGATGTCCTAGTCTTAAACAGCTTCCAAGAAATTTCTAAAATTTTGGGCTTCAGAACTATCAAGACAGCTAACATATATTTATAAAGAATTTGTAATTTATAAATTATTGATTTGTCACACTGGAAGTTACAAGTATACGAGGAGAAAGCTTTTTTATCTTAATATGATGGACTGCCTTCAGCTAAGTGAGCAGAAGGATGGGCTGAGATTTTCTGAAATGTTCAGGCTATGCAGAAATGTGCTCATAGTGGCATTAATACACATTTTACATCCAGTTCTGCAGGAACACAATCAGAGCACAGCCCCATTGCATCTGAGCAAGTGTTACCATTTTCAATCCCTTTCTGCTTTACTGATGCCAATGAGTGTTTCAAAAATATGAGCTCTAGTTATAAGTTTGCAAGACACAAGGAAACACTTATGTCACCTGCCCATTTTCTTATGTCAAGATGTTGCTTGAGAAACACTTCAAGAAAAATAACCTCACTAAATAAGTAAATAAGTAAATATTGCATGCATCTTTTTTTGATGCTTTCTTGAGATAAAATGTGTTTTAATATTTTTTCCAGACATTCGGGACAGTGGGGGACCTAAGCCTGTGATGGTGTATATACATGGAGGGTCCTACATGGAAGGCACTGGAAATTTGTATGATGGCAGTGTTCTAGCAAGTTATGGGAATGTGATAGTCATCACAGTCAACTACCGCCTTGGGGTACTTGGTAAGAAGCTTTCAGATTTCCATTAATCCCTCATATGTGTAATGTGATTCGTGTTATATATGAGTGTACTCTTCAAAAAAAAAACCCAAAATTATTGATACTGTTTCCTTTGGTTTACAAATTTGTCAAAAAGAAAAAAAAGAGGATGAGATAAATGGCATTGCAAGTATTATTTGTGTTGTTTGGTTTGCATTTAGTGATATCAAGCAGGTGTTTCCATTGCTGAGTGGTTCAGACCAGATCTTGTTTTCTGTGGATAGTGGCAATGCTTTACTTCATAGATAGGTGAATTAGTTATATATATATATATATATATAAGTTAAGTCATAGACAATAATGTTTTCTGTTGGAAGTGATTAAGTTTTGATTAACAAATTTTTTTAATGCTTTGAAAAAACTAAGAACTTTATCAAAATATTATTTAGTAAGAGTCACACTGTATACCTGTTTATTTTGAGTTCCGTTGTGGTTTTAAAATGAGTTGTGGTTAGAATTCAATTAATTCCAATACTTCTTTTCTAAACCAAATTGTAGAGTAATAGAGTTATTTCTGATTGTTTCAAATGTGGTGAATAGGATATGCTGATGCTGCTGGTAGACTTGACTGGTATGTCTCTGGTTGGTTGTATTTCTAAAAAATGTACTTTGTTATTTGTTCACCACGGCCACAGATATGATAAAAGTCTGACAGGTCTTATGGCAATGATGTGATTGTTTGTTTTGTTCTGTGTGTTCTACTGCAGTGTTACTTGCTAAGGCTCCTGCAGGTAGGGTTTCAACTCTTGGATATTTTGAAAGTCAGAAGAGTAATTTTGCAGTACTTGCATAGGTTCCCTGTAACATCTGAAGTAGCTTGATAAGCCGGGTGTCATTCAGAGCAGCAAGTTGGTTCTGAAGATCAGTGAACTCTATTTTCAGTTTGTGGGCAACAGCAAGGTCTGCTACTCTGTTCTTCTTTTGTATGGTCATTTTATTTCATCAGCACTTGGTTTATTTCTGTTTTGAAATCAATTAGCATAATGATTGATTTGGTTTTTTTTTTTCCTGCTTCATCATCTCTGCAATTAATCTCCGGTGGTGCCATGTGTATTAAAATTTGCTATCTGGAAACAGTTTATTTTTTACCAGGAATGGATTTTGACTTAGATTTTGAAGACCTAATCTATGGTAGTTGCCTTTTACAAGGATGGAATATATTCCAAAACAATCAGAAAAATGTCTGTTGCTGGACTTATCTCCTTAGCATCTGGCTGGAGGTTTCATTTGTGATGTACTTCTTTAAGGAAGAAAATACTGATATTTGTCATGTTTGTCTCCCAATTTACTTTGAGTCCTTGGGCATATATTAGTGCTGTGGTTATTAATCTGTAATCTGTGACTATACACAAACAACTGTGCTTGTCCTTCATATTTCAAACATTTATGTGTATTTCATACCAGAAGGGTACTCTGTTCAGTAATATAGTCGCCGTCATCTGAAGGAATTGTTTGTTTTAATAAATTACGTAGTCTGGTTCCTAAATTTACTGGCAGTTGCAGTGTTTGAAAGTGCTCATTGCTTGAAAGATGAGAATTTCTTTGTAACAGTAATGGCTTTTCCTTTTGGAATGTTAAGACTGATCCCTGAGGTATCCCACTGCTAACATCTTACTGAGCCTGGGAGGTTTCCATTTGTGTTTGTGCTTTTGTGCTTCTTTGAACTTTGTGCTCTTTACAGAGCTTTCAGGGAGCAGAGTGTTACTTTTCCTTCAAGTGGGACCTTTTGCAGTAAAACTTCTGAAATGCACAGCAGAATCTGGTGATTGGCATGTATACTTAAGACTACTTTCAAACCAACTAAAATAATCCTTTATCAAGTTTGTAGTGCTTTCTTAGTAAAATAAATGTATTTTTTAACTATATATAAAAGTCAGGTATTTTGTTTCTGGTACAATGCCATCTGCCAGGTATACAATAAATAATGGTTATATATCTCTAGATGGGCAGCGTAGAAACATGCTGGCAATCAAAAAACAAAATTTGCACAGTTTGCATTTTTTTTTCCAGGTTTCTTTGTGTTTCCTAGTGTGTAGACAATTGTGTAAGATAGCCTCAGAGTTGGACTGTTGTGTAATCATACAAGATATCAGCTTTTTTGTTTTCAAACTTGTACTCATCAGTGTACAGAAATGCTTGTCCATAATGGTACAGCAGAACATCACTCTTTTCAGTGGCATTAAAAAAGACACGTTTTTACAAATACGTAGCTGACAAATTCTCAGGTTCCCTTACCTGACTCACATCCCATAAGATTCAGCTTCTCTGTCCACTGCTTGTGGGAAGACTAGATGTCACTTCATTGCTGTGTAAAATGCCTGGCTGTATGGGGAAAATAATATAAGGATTCTTTCTTTGAAAGGTAATATAGGGACTCTTTCTCCACAGGAGAAGATTTAGGGCCTGTCTTCCCATTTCTCGTGGCTGGGTTTCTTGCATCAGTCTTTGTGGATGAATACCTTAATGTAGATGATCCATGTGAGTCTTAGGAATTCTGCCATTGGTTTAACCAGGATTCTCCCTGTGACATTTCTTAACAAGAAATCCGGTTAAGGAAATGTTTAGAGTTTTTGTCCAAACTGATAGTGATGGGAAGGGAGGATATGCTATTATATTGGATTCTTTTCATTATTGCTATTAAGTCCATAGCAGGCAGCTCTTGGTACAGTTCAGAGTATTTTCTTTTTATTCTCAGCTGAAACAATCTTTGTCCTGTAGATTAATCTGCTTGAGGCAGTACATTTTATAGAGATGCAAGATTTGCTTCTTTCTAAAATTTTAGAATGCTTAGAAGTGGAATGTCTTTGGTAAAGATAATAATAAAAATTGAAGTGTGGAGCAAGTGCATTTATAAACCAAACAAAAACCCTGAGAGTTCTCTGACCCAATTTTGTCTTTGTCTGAAGCAAGTCTGAGAATGAAAGTCTGTTAGAATCTTTCCTTAGATATTGATGAGATGGAGTAGAGAATTGTTTGCCCTGGAAACTTGGGGACTACTGAATAAGAAACCATTGGAGACAGACTATTTATATCTTCTTTACAATCTTTTTAAATGCGAGTCTTGTGCAAGCAATCTTTTCTAGTGAGTAGTCTGATGTCCTTGAAGGACAGCACAGAAGTAGGTGCAGGCAAATTTTTTATAGTTTTATAGCTTATTTTTATGAAAAGACAGATCTGAAGATAAATTTGGGTTTTGAACTCAACTAAATTAAATTTTCAAATGTTTATCTAAAATATCTCCAGCTGGTAAAAAGGCAGGAGCTTTTTATTTAAATTTCATAAAAGAAACATAAAGGGATTATAAGAAGAGTTTATTTAACATCCAGGCAAAGATCATGATAGATGGATTTAATACCCCCAGTGCTGTTTCCTATGTTCTTTCTTTTGAAAAGGAGAAGCCAGCGCTGGCTTCTTCCCCTTTAGCTTAAGTTTCCAAGAGGAAAGAGAAAGTTGTGCACTGATTTATGCCAACTGAATACACATTTATTCATTTTATTAATTTCTATTTCTTGCTTTTGATTATCTTTTGGCCACTGGATTTTAATCGATCTGAAAGAAAAACATTTTTAATGCAGTTCACGATCAAACTGAATTGAGAGATGGAAGAATAATTCAGAGGAATCTCTAAGTAAACCACTGCTTTAAATTTCCCAAGTTTTTCGTCTTCAAGGCAATGGTTTTTCCCACAGAAACAGTGAGCTGTCATTCCAAGTTTTTTTTGGCCATTTTTTACTTTTAATGACAGTTGGTAATTATTTGCGCTTTTACTGTAGCACTGTGTTTGAAAGGCCTGGTATCCTCATAAATATTAATTCCTTATTTTGCCAATGATTGAACTTAAATCAATGAGACTCATAAGTACAGTGCTTCTCGATACATAAAAGCCTGGTTTGCCCACAGTTTGAAGCAGTACCACAAGAAAATTGTTGCTTATGCACAGAGCTTTTGACAGGAGCTATTCTTAGAGTCCTATTGTGTTCTTCAGCCTAAACTTCAATTTTTCAATAGTTTGTTGTGTCAGATGGCTATGGTGGGCTGAAGCAGTCGTGTAAAATAAAATACTGAAGCAAAGGAAAGCAAAGCAAAAACACTGCAGCAAAAGTTGCTTCTTACTTTTGTTAGCAACTCTAAGAGCTTTGTGAACAATGAAGTGAACGGAGGATGAGTCTTATTATGCTTTTACATTATTTGTTGATGCATGTTAGAATACTTGTGTTTGGAAGATAGGCTTGAGAATATATTTTGCTCCTCACATAATAGAGTCAAGCAGCAATGTGTTACAGGCAAAAGAGTGACATGAAATATAGACTCAGCCCTGCAGTACATGTTGGGCAATTTGTCCCAGGCCCTGCATTTCTGCCATTACCCATGGGTTGAAAAACTACTTATTTGACCATTGGCAGGATCCAACGTAGGGATGAGCACACACAGCAAAAAAAAATCAGAGCAATTTTGAAGTACCTGGCCATTCATCAGGGAAGTTGGACTAGCTGACCTTTGCAGGTCCCTTCCAACTCAAATGATTCCATGATTTCAGGAGTCTAGTTCCACTGTGATTGACAGGAGGACAGTGTCTTGTTTTCTTTTCGTTTTCTTTCCTAAGCAGAATAGAAAACTAAATTATTTCAGTGCTTTCAAATTAGATCTGATTTATTCTGTGTTAATATAATTTGTTAAACTGTTTGATTCTTTTTTTGGGGGGGTAATCATTTACTGTGTACTTTTTCCATCAGAAAATGTTTTGCTTTTGTTGTTTTCTTGCCTTGCCTTTCTATCATGGTAATAGTACTGAAATTATTAAATAGAAGATATCTTTCAAATATGTTTTCAGTACCACTTAATCGATGCTTTCAAAAATATCTATTAACTTTAGACACAACCCTTTCAAAAATTGCTTCATTGACATTTAGGCATTTTTGCCTGTATAATCCGTGGCCTGTTCTGCAGTCTGCTGAACTGTCTTG